AATTGTTTGGTCTGTATATTTGGAAAAATCTTTATTTGGATTAAGTATTTCCTTTACTAGGCTACTGAGATTTGTCTCTAAGATTGTTTTTATTTTTTCCTCAATGTCCCTCTCGGTCATGATTCGTGTGTTTATTTGTGTGGAACTGGCTGATGAGGGTCCGGTAAGATTCGCGAGTCTGTCTGCCAAATCTTGTTCGGTCATTTTGGGTATGGATATATGAGCAGCGAAAAGTTTAATTTAATTTTTTAATTTTAGTTATTCAGAATTCGGAAGTTGTCTTCTAAGAATTAGGGTGTGCGATTTTTTATTACCTTTGTAATTATTGGGTGGGAATTTTTATTTTCCCTATATTTTGGATTTTTTCTTTTTAACTTACTAAAATATGTCTTCTACACTTTATATTTGGGTAAAACTTTTTCTTCTTTGAATATTTTTCGATTAAATATTTTTTATGTTTTTGTTAATAAATTGCTTAAAACTATTCTTACAGTAGTAACATATCTCGGCGTGCTCTCGTGATGACAGGCTCGGCAGATTCCGTTTTATCTCACTCTGCAACGATCTCTCCTGAGTGTGAGTTTACTAAGGGGCCTTCTCTGTACCTTAATTCACGTTCCCTTCGAACGGATACTAAAGGGATCACGGCGATAAAATTTGGCCTGATTATTCCACCGGGTACAAGACCCGTTTTTTTTTCAGGAGTGACAATTTGCGGCGTTTTTTAAACGGCACTTTTGCACTTCCGAATCTCGGTATTTTTGGTTTTTTACTTCTCACTGATTAGGCGGAGGTTTGAAACGAAACGTCAGAATTTTTTACTTTCTGAACTTCGCGAGACGCGGAACTTGTTATCCTTTCGCGGTTTTAATCAGGTCCCTGTTCGGGCGCCAGTTAAAAGATTGGTTATGATTTTTATATAAAAAAATCAAACTTTCCTTTATTGAGTTGGATTAAGAACTAACTTACTTAGATTAAACAATTGTTTTTATAGCTACGCGTCGCTCCATCGCTGCCGCCGTCTCTGCCGCTGTTGATGTTTCTGCTGACGTTCTTTCATATTATTGGTTGCTGCTCTTGGTAGCCGTCGCCGTTGGCCAAACTTAATTGTAATTGGCCAGTGCATTTTAATTATAGTTTTTGTTGTATGCACTAAGTTGAGTTCGATCAACTTTGGAAATTGGCTATTCTGCATTCCCACGATCGCTGACCAAAAAGTGCAAGCTAAGTTCGTTAGAACTTTATTGAGAGCATTGCTTTGCTGTTAGTTGTGCAATTAATGCTCTCTTCTTCGGTTTGGGAAATTCTATTATTGAGGGCATTGCTTTGCTGTTTGTTGTGCAATCAATGCTTACTCATTTCCTCTGTCTGAGAAATTGTATTATTTTGGGTGTTAACTTATATAAGTGGTTGCAAATGACGGTAATTGGTAATGCCTATGCGATTCTTAATAAGAATGCCAGCACTTCCATGACCTTTACTATCGGGATGATTTGTCGCATAAAAAGTAAAGCCATTAAGATTAATGTAATTTTTGTTCGTTAAGTGAGTCTCTGATATAAGCATGACGACAATGCCATATTGGCTTAAGAACTGCAAGATTTCGTTTTTGTGCTGCAAAATGCCATTTGCATTCAAGAAGATAACATTAGTAAAACCATCTAAACTGATTTTTGTTTATTTAAGAGCTCCAAAAGAGATTTTCCGTACGCATAAGCTCCTACGCAGTTTGCTGCATTACTACCTTTGTGTTTGTTATAGTTACCAACATTGATTCTAACCCACTAGGCAATTGGGCGCTAATTTATTGTGCAGTTAAATCGAAAAAAATTTGACTGGCCTGGATTTATCGGCACGATAACGATCCAAATCATAGTTCTTAGCTTGCCAAGTCAAGACTAGTTGAACAATATATCAAGCTTCTTAAACGGCCGCAGAAAATCCCGATTGACGACTTGCGGTAAAATATTTAACGTGGCGACACGTAAGCCAGTCAAAAGGAGGGAATTATAAAAAGTAATCTAAGAGAAATGAAAAAATAACTGTACCTCAAAGCGCTCATCTTGTAGCTTGTATGTCAAAGCACGTTTTCCACAGTTGTGAACAGAGCTCGCAAATAACCGTTAACCGATTTTGCCAATCCAGTCTGCACATTGACAAAAAAGAAGAAAGAAGTTACGCAAACGATATCTCCCTGAGTGTTGGACTCAACAGAAGAAAAAAATCGGTCTCTAAATAACAACTTTTTTTTATTTTTTTAGTATTAAGAATTCAGTTTAACAATTTCCAATTATTGAGAGCTGTGCTTCTCATTTTAAATAAGTGCATTTGAAGCGGAACTGAACTGAAAAACACTCTCTAACTGATCAAAATAGTGCCTGAAAGAAGTTATGTTAGATAAAAAGTGTTTTGTGGAAATTCTTAAAAAAGAAAAACTCCTCAGCGTAGTCTACCACTTGTTTCAATAATTTAAACGCAGTAGCAGCTTGCTAACGTCACCTCTACACTCTGCGTGTAAGCATTAGGTGTATAAGTATCACTATGGGAGGTTCAATACGTAAGTTAGTTAGTTCTCTAGAATAACGTTGTTCATGGATCCTAGTTAGTGAAGGGCTGTCTCGGTTAATTAGCCCTCGCGGTAGTAAGTTATCAAAAATAAATGCGATTTGTGTTAGAGCAAATACATTAATTTGGTTTAATTTTTTAAGTTAGTAATTCCACTCCAAGGCCCATGCCTTGCTGTGTCAGGGATCCATCTGTGTACCATGCAATGGTGTGTTTAGCCATCGGATGCACTTCAGACAGTGTGGTCCAATCTTTCTTATTGCCTAGGTGTGCTGTGAAGTTCTGCTCGAAGATTAGTTCGGCTGTCATTTCATCCCTAGGGTGGAGTATTAGGGGCACCTCACCTAACAAATTAGTCGCATCCCTGTTATTTAGAATGCAACCACTACCTGTGCCCTCAGTGCTTATTCTCAGGAGTGTAGCTTTGCGTTGAATATCAATCACATAGTGGAGTGGTGTTAGCTCCATCAAAACTTCTAAGGCAGCTGTAGGACAGGTTCTCATTGCCCCTGTCATGCATACGCAGGCAAGTCTTTGTAGTTTTCCTAGCTGGTTTTGCATGCTGATGAGCTTAGCTCGTTTGCCCCATGCAAGTGCTCCGTAAGTGAGGATTGGTCTCACGATCATTAAGTATAGCCATCGTATTATCTGAGGCCTGGTTCCCCAGGATTTCCCAGCAATTTTCCGACAGGTATAGAGTGCTCTGTAACACTTTTCCAATGTCTTTTGGACATGGGAAGCGAAAGTCAGTTTACTATCTAAAGTGATTCCTAGATATTTATCCTCTCGGCTAGTTTCTATAGGAATTCCTAGCAGTGAGATTTGTCTCATTCTCTGTAGTTTGTACTTCCTTGTGAAAGGAACGATGACTGTCTTAGCAGGATTTAAGTTGAGTCCAACCTCCCTGCACCAGTCTAGCGTTGTCTTTAGTCCGAGTTGAAGGATGTCGCAGAGTGTCGCTTCAAATTTGCCCCTGGCGATTATCACGATGTCATCGGCGTATCCCTGACATCAGCAAGTTTTCTGAGAAGCTCATCTATTAGCAGACTCCATAGCAAAGGGGAGAGTACTCCTCCTTGCGGGCAATTGTCACGCTATCCGAACCCAGTGTACATGTTACTTGCCTGGATTCAAGTAGGTTGCCAATCCATTTGCTCGTAGTAACTTCTGTTTGCGCACTTGGCGTTTGTATTTTAAATCACTAGTTGTAGGGCGGGAGCCAATAAAGCTTTCGTCCGTTCGCTTTTGCGGATTCGCCCCGTCTCTCGCCACCGTAGCATAAGTTAAGTTCTAAGAGAATTTATTAAAATATTAAAGTTAGTGATCAATCGAACGTCATCGTAGCCACTCCTTTTCGTCGTCGCTTTCGAAATAGTTTGTTCACAAGTTTCGCAAATTAAAATCGTCTCGAACAACTGCAGTCACAAGTTTTCGCGTTGTTAATACAAAACAGTATTAAATTTTCAACATCCATGTTCCTTCTGGACAGGGCAGCTCGGACCGCATCATGTGATGTGTTGTCGAAGGCTCCCTCATGTCTAGAAAAGCACAGATAGCTAAAAAAAATAAAAAAAAAAAACAGCTAAAAAAAATAAAAAAATATTTAAAAAAAATATATATATTTAAATGTAACTTTTTTATTTTGTAATTTTTTTTGGAAATTCTTCTTGATTATTTAAATATTTGAATTATTCAGAATTACGCTTTTAATTTTATTAAAATAGGAAAACGATATCATATAGGAACTTAAATAGTTGAGCTGTAAATCATCATAGCTTCAATGCTTTAAAACATACACGCAAGTAAATATTAATTTTAATGTCTTCAAGAATATTTAATTTTTGCAATAGCTGCAAGGGTATGAAAACTTCAGCTTGCCGAAGTTTGCTTCCTTTCCTGTTTTTAAATCAAACTAGTTACTTAGTCCTCTGCCGCCGCTGTTATGCCGGCCAAAACCTATCTAACGCTCGTTAGATAGGGTCGTGAAGATCGCTTATGTAAAGAGACAGAGCGAAAGAACTGTTAGCGGGGGTGGGGGTGCTGCACGCTCCTAGCTTCTAGATGGCGCCACCCAAGCCCGATTGTTTTGTGGGGGTATAATTAGTTTGTTAGCTGAGGAATGAGCATGGCTTGCAAATATTTAGCAGAACAAAACTTTTTTGTTGAAAAAAATTCCGGTCTGTGAAGGGAAGACGATGTAAAGTTAAAATGTATTCGTTTTAAATGTTTCAGATTCAACCATCCGCAATGTCGGAAATGGCAAACTTTCGACATTATTATTACAAATGAAGATTACCCTTTTTAAAATAATTTGTTACCTTGCAATATATTGTGTTATTACATTTTCGACCATTTGGCGAAATAGAAGATCGACAAGTAAATGTTATACCTTCGGATTACAAGCTTACACTTCTTGTTTCTTATTATTTTTTTAGAACCAGAACTTTTCGAAGATGACCTTTTCGGTGAACCTTCTCAGCCAGTTGAGCAGATAGCTAAGGAACCTACAGCAATTATAATCGCAGATGATTTTGATGAAGATGAAATTGACAATTGTAATAACGTTCCGTCGCCTGCCACATCTTGCATAAATTCAGTTGTTGATGAAAAAGGTGGTAAGAATTTAATAATCAAATGTGTCAAATAATTGGACGCCCAGAATACAAAATATGGCTGCTTGTGTTGTTTTTACTTGTTTTTTTAGTTTCTAGAGATTCTCCAAATTGTTGATACGTTTGAGTTGAATAATTTACAATATTATTTTTTTAGAAACTATTTTGCACGAACATTCCAATGTGGGCGACAATGTGCCCATAAATGAATTAACTCTTGTCCAAAACGAGGATGATGGATTCGCTTTAGCCCCAATTGACGCAACCATTTATAAGGGATTAACAAAGGCCAAACGCAAAAGAAAACTTATTATTGATGAAATAAAAAATATTTCTGGAGAGGAAATGAAAGCACAATTAGCCGATACTTCTGATATATTAACTACTCTCGATCTGGCCCCCCCTACAAAAAGGTATTAAGTTAATATTGCGTAAAACATAGATAGTAAAGATGTCTTTATTTTATTTGTAGACTGATGTATTGGAAAGAAACCGGAGGTGTTGAAAAACTGTTTTCCTTACCATCAAGATCCATACCAGCCACATCCTTATTTAATAATTATAATAGACAGTTGTTTTCACATTCAACATTCTTTGAGGACTTTTCAAGTGTGGCTCCAATGGAAATTCTTGCATTGGAATTTTATACCCATGAAAACGAGAATTCGCTAATTATTTTTAATAAAAAAGGTCGCAAACGAAAGAATGATCCTGTAACTAATCCCTTTTTGGACCATGTATCAGATTCACTTACTCAAAGCTTAGAGGTCCCTGAAGTTTTAAGAGAAGACCAAAAATCTATAGGGCTATCTGCCGTGTCTTTAAACATTGCAACAAAAGAGCAAGAAAGTATTGGCTGTCAAAATGCATCAACTCTTTTCGATCACATGAGAAGTCCTGATTTATTGTCCTTGAATGATATGGAACATTTTTCATCAATTAATGACCTGCCATTAACACCAAGAAATGCGATTAATGACATGGGGGATGATTTTAACCAAGGAGACTCAACGCCGCCTGGATTAGATCACGGTCACACCACTCCGCAGCATACGAATATTAGTGAGATAGACAATATCCCAAATATACCTACAGATCAAATAAGCGCAATATTAAATGAATCTGAGAAACAACCTTTACTTAATGAGAACGGCTTTTCCAAAAGGACAAAAGACTTTTCAAAAGAATGGCACAACTATGAAATTCCAACCTTTGTTGTTCAGGTAAGTTCGTAAGACTAGTTCAAAACAATATTTATTTATTAATTTAATTATTATTTTTTTTATCTGAGAAACAACAAGTGCATATGAATCAACGTTAGCCACGCAAATCCAAAAGCATTTTGTTGTTGGGTCGCCAGAAATCACTTTTTGTCTTCGTTGAATAGTTGATCTCGCAGCGATAAATTTCTACTTCAAAAATGTTCTTTGTAATTTAATTTTATGTTTTATTTTATTATTTATATTTTTTAATACCCCTTTTTGTTAATATATTTAAATGTTTCCTTCATTCATGCCCAAACTCCGTTTTTATACGCTTGCAGGGGGTATTATAATTTCAGTCAGGAGTTTGCAACGCAGTGAAGGAGACGTTTCCGACCCTATAAAGTATATATATTATTGATCAGCATCACTAGGCTAGTCGATCTAACCATGTCCGTCTGTCAGTCTGTCCGTCCGTTTCTACGCAAACTAGTCTCTCAGTTTTAAAGCTATCTGCATGAAACTTTCCCAAAAGTTGTCTTCTATTGCAGGTAGTATATAAGTCGGAACGAGCCGGATCGGACGACTATAGCATTTAGCTCCCATAGGAACAATCGTAAAAATAAAAAAAAAAAAATTATTACTTTTCTGTTTTTTATTTATTTTTTTTTTTTAGTTCTTCGACATATAGTAATAGTTAAATATTTCCGAATTACGGTTTAAATTTATCAAAATCGGACGACTGACTATATCATATAGCTTCCATAGGTACAATCGGAAAAAAATACAAAAAAAAAATTATAACTTTGCTGTTTTTAATTTTTCTATTAGTTCTTCGACATATAGTAATGGTTAAATATTTCAGAATTACGGTTTAAATTTCATCAAAATCGGACGACTCTATCATATAGCTCCCAAAGAAATAATAAAAATATATAAAATAACTATCTAATAATTGAGCTGAAAATCATCATTGCTTCAATGTTTTAGACATATACGCAAGTAAATCATAATTTTAATGTTTTCAAAAATTCAATTAATAAAATTCTTGCAATAGCTGCAAGGGTATATAAACTTCGGCTTGCCGAAGTTTGCTTCCTTTCTTGTTAAAGTTAATTTTTAAAAAAGCTAAGACTCGATCAAATTTGAAAAAAATATTGACATTTCAAAGCCACCACAATAAGTTGCACAGTACAAACTCGTAAAAAGCGGAAACAATGTTATTTAATAGTTTTTGTATATTAAGGAGTTGGTGGTCTAATTAATTTTAAAAATCAGCACTTTAGAGATATGATTATTTTGTTTACCAAGTCTCTATAATTTATTTATTTTTTTTTTAAATTTAAAGTTTCCAAGGTTTTTTATTTGCGGCAACATCGAACCAACCCGTGTTTCAGCTAGTTACACATAATAGTTTACAGTACAACTATGGTAGGGAAAGAGGTATTTCATCTATCGACCCAATAATGTAGATTGCAAGCTTCAGTACTGCTTTTGGCGACAGCACTGAGAAGGCTGTATTTATAAAAAGCATTCTAGGAAACAGCTGCTTTAATAAATTCAATTGAATATCTTTTACCTAATAATTCTTTCTTAAGATGGTAACTCTCTAAAATCTCTAATATTTACACTTAATAGCAAAAATGCACAAAAGAAATACTTTTTATACCTTTCAAAACTTTAAAGTTCTGTCAATACCTTCCAAGTCATTAGATAAGCAAACATACTAATTATTTTTACATAAATATTCGAACGAAAACATAACATAAAAACATAAAAACATAAAAATTCGAAGCACAATTCGCAGACACTAATAGACTGCTGATGCACAAATACATTAGCGGCCAAAGAAATCCGAAAACCTATGCAAACTTTGAACTGACGTAAAATATGTGAAAAAAGTTTAATCGGTTTCGTGTTATCTAATATGTATTTAGTATTAAAATTCCGTCTAGTTTGCTAAATCGTAAGGTGCCATATTGGCTTTCCCATCTGAAAATGTAAGCCTTCGCGATATTAGCGCTTCAGTTGGGTTTTTTAAATTTGAAACTTACTAAAAAAAATTAAATTGTTTTCGAGTTCCTAAGTTTTTTTTAAAAAGTATCAATAATTTTACTCAAAGACTTATTCTAAAAAAAAAAAAAAATATTAGAATCGAAAAAAGAGTTGATTTGGTTAGCATACATTCATTTAATTTATTCTTGCAACAATAAACCCAATTTTAAAAAATGTGTACGAAACGATCCGACAGCGTTCTAAACGCTCTGCATATAAGTTGGGCGGCTAGCCTATGAGTGGATTTAAGGTTTCGGCTGTAGCTTGTCTGCTAACCAGCACCGCCTCGAATTTTTGAGGAACAAGATACAGGCCTGGGATGGCTGAAAATGCGCTGATTAGCTCAAAGCTCCGGTTGAAGCCCACTACCTGGGTCCTCCCTGGCAGAGCGAGGCGAAGAACTCCGTCATCACGTTCCATAGCAAGGGTGCCAGTACGGAACCTTGAGGAACTCAACCGGCAATCCTGACGATCTCCAGTCCCTCTGGGACGTCGAACTGCATAATGCTCTCGATTAAATAGCTCCTAATCATCATCGACAAGACCTCAAGAGTGCAGCTCCATTAAGCCGTCTTAAAGGCGTTCCTGATGTCGAGGGGAGGCAGTACTCTTTTTCTCCACCTTTCCATCTAGTGCCGGCTTTTGCAGACTTTCGAACGTCGATTTAGCATTTTCCCCGTTGCCGTTATGGCTCTCTCTAAACGAGAGCTTATTAGGTGTTCCAGGACCTTACCGACGCCATCTATAAGACAAATTGGCCTTTAGGACGACGGGTCATCTGGCGGCTTCCCAGGTTTAGGCAGAAGTACGAGGCGTTGGGATTTCCATCTCGCCGGGTGGGAACCTTCCCTTAGACAGCAGCCATAAATCCCGGCAAGCTTTTCGGGGCGAAGAGTTAGGACGAGTTTTAACACCCGGTTCGGGACGACACCAGGTCCGGGGGACATGCCAGGCTTGACCATCATGGCTTCCAACACGCTTTCACGCACTCCCTTCTGACACTCAGCTATTGTAAGTTGCTTTCCTATGTCGACTGTGGTTTCACCTTACAGGGATCCAACTATAGCAAACGGCTTGGATTTGCTCCATAACACGGCTGTACAGCAGGTCTTGCGCTGCCGCGCAGCGATTGAGATTCAGCTTAATCACTTGCATGTCCGTTTGGTTGTTTGTCACTCCGTTTGTCGACAGGGGACAGTTTCGGCCGTCCGCATGGTGGTTTGGTGGTGTTCCTTAGAACCATTGCTGATGCACCGTTTTTGCACTCCGCTTTTTTATGGCCTTATTTGCCGCATCTAAAGCATTCTTTGCTTCTGCCGGTCTTCCCAACTATTGGCGATATGACTTACTTCTCGGCACTTGAAGCACCTGGGGTGAGAGTCAAGCTCCTACCTTTGTTCTCCTTGAGCTTGATTGTGAATTTTAGCATCAGGTCACCCTTCGTCGTTCTTCTGACTTTTGCCACCTTCTCAACCACCTCGTTGAGTCTCGCATCCCTGCTCAAGTGACGAGACACAGGACTTCGCTGTATGATAGCCCTGACGTTGGGCGGATAATCAGCACATCTGGTTTTGCCCGCATTCCTCTGCCCGGCCGCATTGTGTGCGAATTGGGTGCCAGGTCCATTTGCCAGCCCCCGTTGTGGCTGGGGTTTTCTGGGGATGCCTCTTTTTCAAGGCACGTCCTCTTGAGGAGGGCGGTGCTCAACCTAGTTTAGGTACTTCAGGTACATGTCCCCTCACGGTTTGGCAACTTATATCCGCCATCTCCTTGGGGACGGCTGCGGCCGTTACGCCGAGCTGTTGGAGGATCACCGTTTGAAACTCCCTCATCTTGGCGATCGCGTTCTTCATCACTTGGTTGATGCTCCGAACCTTCTATTCGTTCACTTTCCCAAGTATCTCATCCAGAATTTCTCCTAGTTCCTAGTTCTGGGTCCGTTTATCCGGGCTAGGCGTGTCCCTGGCTTTGTTCGCATAGAGGATTCAACTCCTGCCCCGTTCAAATTAGGTACCTGCTTCCTTACTTGTGGGGGTGTGGGGTAGGGATGTATTCCCCCTCTGCAGTTAAGACGAGAGTTGAAAGGGCCATTGCTCGTCGTCTCCGACACTTTGTTGGCCAAGTAGGCCTCCGGCATAGCAGCACTGATTGGAACGAGGGTTAGAGCCTAAAGAATCCGTGCGCCTGCCCCAGAATTGTCTGCAGGTGGATTTCCACTTAAGTGGTTGCCACATGGAGCCACATGCCATTCGACATTCCAATTTTTTGCGTTTTCTTTCCGCCAGTTGAAGATAAGCTGCCGACCGCTCTAGTTCAAAGATTCAGATCGAACCGCCGCCCACAATGGCACAGACGCGATGCGTTTTTTAGCAGATCAGACGCCGAGGAGCGATATTAATAATAGGGCTGCTGACTGTTTCGGTTCAGACGCAGCCTGCACCGCCCGGTTAGTATGGGCATCCCGCGGTGAACGAAGATTTCCTTCCGATTTTTGCGCGATGGAGCACTTACCCCGCTTTTGGTACTCCGCGGAGGGGTTTGGCTAGGCCTGTTCCGCGACCTTTCGTACCTGAAGGCCCATACAGACCGCATTCTGTACTCAGGCGAAGCTGTGCTGCTATGTAGAAAATTTCAATTCAAATTTCAATGCAGAAACTGCGTCAATGTTCAAGCCCGGGACAGTGAGCGTTGATCGTTAATAAACTTACGCCCTCTGGCGGACCGCAGGGTGGCAAGTTTCCGATCAGCTGGGTGGTTGCCGGCAACTTCTTGACAAACAGCTGTTGTAAAAAGCAGGATGCACGCTTTGCACCTAAGAGAAAGCTGCTACAACAAGTTGGAAAAACTCAAGAAAGTGGTTTACCGCCTTGAATGGGATTGGTTTGCCCAAGACTCAAAAACTTTTGACCCCTGATGTGGCTGAAAGATCTCCTCTGGGACAGCCTCTATCGGTGTGACTAAGTAAG